TGCGTGAGCCCCCTGTGGTCAGGGCATGTCACCCTCCCGGGACATGAGCAGGCTCCTCAGGGATGCCACATCTTGACGTCCATGTCGCTCGCGGGACTTGCTTCTGTGGCCTCATTAACTGACTCACTGACCACAGTCTGGCTCAGCTCCTTGGGGCCTAGCAAGGGTCTTCTCTCCACGTAGCGAACGCCCATCTCATGGACACTGCAAGGCTTTGAAGTTCTGTGCCGGGGCCAGGAACAAAGACCAACTTCACTGTTTATTGTGCCACAGAATTTGACCTCTGTGTTTTATGGCAGATCCTTTAAATCACAGGAGCTGACTTACTAAAATACCTGGTTTAGGTCCGTGGGCCACCTGAACAAGAGGCTGGCCTTTTGCAGATGGAGTTCTTGTAGACATGTTAAAGGGCCGTGGTGATTCCTGAGTTATTTATATTAAGGTTACTCCTTAATTTGAGAAAAAACATAATATGAGAGTTACTATACTTTTAGGTAATTGGAAAAATTATTAAGATTAATAGGAACATAACACTGGGTCCAGTGGACCCATCCCTTACTTCTCCACTGTAAATTTGGACTTTAGCATAATAGCAGCCAGCTGTGGGTCTCAGTACCTTTCCCTGAGGGATATGGGCAGCAATATATGTATACTTGGTAAGATGAATGGCAAGGTTTGTGCCCGTGTGCAAAAGTGTCAAAACGGCATTTTGACCCACCTTATGCTAGCATCTACCTAATTTTGAATATGTTTACCTGAGCATCAAAGAGGGTCCAGCAGACCCATACCACTCCAGGATTTGCTAAAAAAAAAGTTTTCTTTTGATTTTTTTCTGGTCGCTGTAGCCAAATTCAGTACAATGACACGTGAAAAGCCAGATTTGCAAGTTTTGGAGGCAGTAAGAAATGAATTAGCAGATTACTCATGATGACCCATTATGATAAAATACATGCTTTCATAACAAAGGAGTGGCGTGGGTGAATGATGATGATGATGATGATGATCATTTGATGTTGTCCATGTGAGCAAAGTTCCCGTGACAGTGAAATGGAGCAAGAATCAACCAATACAGACACAGGGAATGCAGACCTTCTTGATTCAGGTGACAAAGAGTGGAGTACAGCACTGTGAGTACATATTTGATTTCTTTCTTTATTTATTTTTGTCTTTTTGAGATAGGGTCTCCCTATGCAGTTCAGGCTGGCCTTGAGTGCACTTTGTAGCCCAGGCTGGCCACACGAACTCACAGTGATCCTCCTGCCTCAGCCTCCCGAGTGCTGGGATTACAGGCGTGTGCCACCACGCCCGGCCTGAGTACATATATAAAATGTTGCAAAATGGCCACACAAGCAAATGGAATGATGCAATGTTAGAACTAGGTCCAAAAATATAGTGAGGGTCTTGGCAAGGGTGAAACATACTGGACAGAACGCCAGCACTGCCATTCAGCGTTGAAAATCATAACAGACCAAATGCTACAAGATGTGGGGAAATACACAGTGGCTGAAATGCAAG